CATTTGGGTTGCTTCCACATTTTAGCAATTACAAATTGTGCTGCTATGAACATAGGTGCACATACATCACTGTGATATGATGTTTTTAGATCTTCTGGGAAGGCAGAATTTTACTGAGTTGCCCAGGATGACCATGAACTTGTGATTCTCCTGCCTCAGCTTCCCAAGTAGCTGGGATTAGAGGCATGCATCATTGCAGCCAGCAGCTTTACTAATTCTGTTAGCCCTTTTCAAGTTCACTTGGAGAGAAACCTCCAAAACTTAGAGTAGGAAAGCAGATCCCTACTTCTACCTTTAAAAATATAGAGAGTTTAAATTATGGTAAGGTGACAGCTTGCCTTTTCACAGATATTTTCTCAGAAATAAAAATTCTACTTTTACTTTGCCCTTCTGTATGATTACATTAACCTCTACCCCAAATACAAAGGCACTGTAATTCTCATGGGATTTCAGGCTAGTTGCAGCCTCACCCATACCCACAGGTATAACACCTGAGACACCAGGTTGGTGGCCAAGAGCACTCACCACTGTAATTACTGCCTAGATTGCAGTTGCTTGACTGACATGCCCCTAATACCACTCTTTGCCTTGATGAATCCTAATAAAATTACTGTGAACATAATCTTATAAATATGACCTGAGAATGAGACTTCCCATCCAGATCTCTACCTTTGCAACATCTAGAAGCAGTTTTTCAGAAGGGCTTGTTTCTTGTTGTGTTAACCAGTCTGAAACAAAGTTAAGGTGGGAGTTGTAGTGTGCTCTTGAAAGTAGACTTGGGAAAACATAATACCACAAATTAAATTCAAGATGCATTGATAAACTTAGAATCAAACAAATTTGGTTGGCCACTTTTTCACTAATTACTGTGTACAACTGGCCCATTCTTCTAACTTCTAAGGAGATTTCATTTACTCACTTCTGAAATGATGTTGATAATAACCCCCCTACTTACCTTGTAGAGTTGTTGTAAGGATCAAACGTGTGTTAGACATCTTCCCATCACTGTAATAAATACTGGAAATGATCAATTTACAGAGAGAAAAGGTTTGTTCTGGCTCACAGTACTAGAGGGTTCAGTTCAGAGACCAATTCACCCTATTGCTTTGCTGCTTGTGGCAGTACATCATAACAAGGATCATATGGTAAACAAAAAGCTGCTCACCTCATCACTGGCAAAAAGGAGGAAGACATCAGGGTCCCACCATCCTTTTCAAAAGTATATAACCATAACCCAAAGACCTTCTACTAGACCACACCTCTTAAAGCTTTCACCAACTCCAAAAGCACCAAGTTGGTGAACATACCTGTAACACAAGAGCCTTTAGGGGACCTTCCAAATCTGAACTATAACAGTGTGCAAAACAACTTCATAAGTGGTAGAAGACTGTCTGAACAAGCTTTGAGCTCCACATGAAGGTTAGATCTGGCTATTAGGCATTTGCTAACCTCTGGAATCCTGAACTTGGGGCATGCGGCTGGTGGACAGGCAATAATGCAGTAAGTTCTCTCAATGGAATACTGGCCAGGAAAAGTGTTTACTGTCTTGTACTAAGTGGACAGGTGAATGTTCATGAATTTTAGAGAACTTGACCTGCATGCCAGCACCCACCAAGTACCATTTGCTTAGCATTGCATCGACACTTTGGATAAACAATGTCATTATTACTCTGAGACAGGACTTCAAAATTACCATTGAGAAAACAAGGCTTGGAGTGTCCACACCACTGACTTACACTGGATTATGAACCCCATACTGCATAGTCCCAGTCATAAGAAGCTGCTCTCTCCTAACTGTTCCCCCTGTCTATTCTCAGACCCATAGTCGAATGACTTTCTTAGCTTCTGTCTTCCTGGAGATACTTTGATTGCTGCTGTCAGACACAGAAAAAGTGTAGTGAGTCAGTATGCTGCTGCTTCCTTCTTGCTAGTTAAATCCAAGGTGCTCTTGAAAAAGGAAGAGAAAAATTGTCAATTTAGTGTCCTCCCTTGTGACTCATTTCAACATATTAGCCAATTTAATTTCCCCCGGATGTGAACATGCTGTTGACAAAAGAATGCTAATTAGAAAATTAAATTTAGAAATAACAGATTGTAGCAACAAATGAAGCATAAAATAAAGGCCCATTTTACACTTATGGCTTATAAAATTCGCTTTTCCTAATGAAGAGCCCTCTTGTCTTCACCATGTGCTGTTTTCTAGAAATCTGTTTTGTTCAACAAATGGATCCTCTTTGTGGCTATTATTAACATGTCTTAAATTTTGTTCTACAGTTAATTTTAATTTGACAGCTAGTTCGTCTTACATGTGTTTACTGCGTAGTCAGAAAATGATCTTTTTAACTTGTAATGTTGGGGGAGGTGTTTGGTAAGTGTTGATTATATTTGCGAAATTAATCACACTTGATTTATGGGGGCACTAGAACATTCATCTGCCCATTTGTCACGTGAGTCCATGTCTTCCCATGTGACGGAACAAGATTTAAAGTCAGCTGACCTGTGCAGTCTCCTAGTCAGTGGAAGAAGCAGATACAGTATTTGGGGATCTACTTCCACTGTAAGGTCTTAAGGAATTTTCTTTCCTGACTCATAACCCTACAGCTATGAGTGTTCCACTATAACCACATTTTAATTCAATGCATCCATTTGGGATCTCTATACTGTGCCTGCCCTGTGCTAGGGCCTGTGTCACAGTGCTGAACAGAGCAGGCATAGATGAGTTGTTCTACCCTCAAGTTCCTATGATGAAAAGAGAGAAGGAGCTGGGATAAATGAGAAGTGCTTCCTTAGATAAGGTATGCAGGGAAGAACTCGCATTATAAAAGGTATCTTATTTAAGCTGAGGCCCAAAGAAAGAGTAGGAACAGGCAATGCCAAGAGTGCAGGGTGGAACACTGAAGACATCAGGACCACAAGTGCATATTGTTAACCCAAAAGGTATCTGTCTCCATCACACCTTCCTCAGGCCACCACCTGAGTGTGGGCACCAACAGGAGAAGCTAGAAAAGATCTAGAAGTTTATAAACACAGGCACCATGTCATGGATGGTGACAGCCTAGGCCTGTCAATGTCCTGGTCCAAAGGAAGCCTGCAGGCTGCAGTGAATTGGGTAATTTCCAACAGTGAGCAGGTTGTGGGGGTGCTGCAGAAGGGCTGGGTGAGGGAAAAGCAGAGTTAACAGATCTCCATGGGCAGGTGATGACAGCTGTAGGAGGAACAATGACAGTGGGGACAAGGATAGCAATTGCTCACTCCATACATCAAACCACTGAGCAATTACTCAGTTTATTTCCTTAATATGAGCTCCTCCTAAGTCGCATCGTATCCCAATCTGTGTTCAGAGGCATAGACAAAACTCATTTTTAGCAGGATTCTGAGGGAGAGATAGAGTTAGCTTGCTAGGGAGCTCGCTCTTTTGAGATTAAGAGTACTTCTCTGACTTATCCAAGGAATCATGACTAGTGAGCAATAAAACCATAATTCCTACCCACATATTTCAGTTATTCACCCCCTTGTATGTGTTTTCTGATGCCAAGAGCCCTAACTGGGAGAGCTGCTGTGTAACACCCTCTCCTATGGGTGTGAAGGAAAACGGAACTCTCCTGAAGTAGCTGCAACCCTTCTTCATGACTGCAAGCCTGGAACCTCCAGGTGGAGGGGAATGGAGGCCTGATGCCTAGGATTTAGGTATCATCTTTGCTTTTGCTGCCCATACAGTGCTCCAGAAACTGCAGTGGGGGCTTTAAGATCCGTGAGATTCAGTGCGTGGACAGCTGGGACCATCGCCGAAGCCTGAGGCCATTTCACTGCCAGTTCCTGGCCGGCCTTCCTCCCCCGCTGAGCATGAGCTGCAACCCAGAGCCCTGTGAAGAGTGGCGGGTGGAGCCCTGGAGCCAGGTATGGCACCCAAAAAGAGACAAGATACCATCACACAATGCACCAACATGTGTTATCACAGAGTCCAGAAGTCAGGGAAGAATGTTTCCAGACAGGTGGTCTCAGTCTCCCCAATATCCAGGCCCTCTGTATCCCAAACAAAGAATTGAGAAAGACACACAGTAAGAAAGACCAAGATTTTTTTTAAAAAGTACATTCCTCAGAGAAAGAGCCAGCAGATGAGAAAACTCAAGAGTGAGTTTGACTCAGAGTGACCTGTCTCCTTTAGGTTTTGAGGTGTTTGTTAGGATCTTCCTGGAGTTGTGGGATTGGAGGTACCACCGAAGAGGACTCTGTCCAATCAAATGAAAGTCTCATTTACCTCAGGAGAGATCATTTCTTACTTGATATGAGCATGAAAGGAACCATCATGGCCGCCAAAGCTTAGGAGGTATGGGGTCAAAACCACAAAGCTAATGATATTATAATGATCATGGGGTTACTCTCAGTTGGGCACATGTTCTTCAGCCTAGGCCAGAGGTCAAGAAAGTATGATTAGGGGCAAGAGCATATTTTTTAAGTTCATGTCAGGTTGTTGAGGTGCTAAGGTAAAGGTAGGACCATATTTCTGAGGATCACGTCAAGATGATAAGGAAATATGGTGAAAGTAGGATGCCCTTTTGGTTTCCAAGAGCAAGAAGGCAGCCCCTCTGCTGTGAGCTGTGTAACGTCAGGAAGTCTTTCACACTGTCTCCTGTATGAAGACCACATTTGTGTTATGACAGCGACTGGCTTCTATTTTATTTGGTGACCAGACCCTGTATGAGGGAAGTCAAATACTTTAGATACTAAAAGAATTCCACTGAGAAGATTATTGGTGCAGTTTCAACCATGACAATGCAGTGTTTTATGACAACATTGTCTCCTAGAGTATATATTGAGTAATCGGGGTCCCTGCTGGGGAAATAAATACAATGGAATGATTCAAACAAGGGCCACTTTGATGACAACCATTTAAGATGAGCCCCACATACTTACCTGAGACTTCTGCATTCAGGGTGAGGGTAAAGGTAAGAGTCTTTCCACATAGTATAATTTCAGTTCCATCTCTCAGTTAAATGTTCAGATCAGTGTTTGCACAAATAAGAAAAATAAGAAGTATGTTTGTGTGTGCACATGTGTGTGTGTGGCTGTGTGTGTCTGCTCCATGTGAAAGTATGTGAAGGGCCTGGCTTTGCTGGGTTTTTGTTTTATTTTGCCACATGAGAACAAGGTTACTACTTTTAATGAAGTATGAAGATTTCATTTTGCCACAGACAAATGTATCAATAGCTAAAAAATACATCCAATAATGTCCAAGAATGGTAGAAAAGTGATAAAAATTGGAACCCACTATATTTTGAGTGTGTCTGTGGGATGGGTTCTTTACCTTATAATGCTTCATTTAATTCTCACAATGATCTAGATGGTAAGCTTTACTAACTCCACTTTATACATAAAGAAGTGAAAACTAAAAGAAGTTGATAAACCTACCTGAAGTTACACAACTGCAAAACAAATGAAGTATTAATTCAAACATCAGGTACAATGCAATGCCTGTGACCTTTCTGCTATGGAACTTAGTCCAATGGGCACTGAACAGAGAACGAACTGAGAAGAAAGAGTAAATTGATAATGCTTTCAAAGGCATCTGCCATGTACCAGGGAAGGGAAGGGACAGAATAAAAACCTGAGGAGAGACAGTTGGTGCTGAAGGCTAAGGAAAACTGTGTCACCAGAAGCTACTGTCAGCCCAGTAAGCCAGGCACCCCTGCTGATACCAGAGGATCTGGGCCACCACCAGGTGTTTTCAGCCACCATTGTCCCCTCTTTCTCCTCCTTCCCGTGCTCAACTTCAAAATACAAGAAGTGATTGCTACTCCCTTGTTCTGAAACCAAGCTTCCAAGCTTTTCATGTATGCTGAGCCTTGCCTGGACTTCTTCAGGCCTGGAATTTACAGAGGAACCCTGAATGCCTTGCCAGAAAAATAGCATTTGCAGGTTATCAAAGATGGGCAATCAGATATTTCTGGTCAGAAAAAATATCTATTGGTATACTTCCTCAGTAACTCTGGCAGCTGTAACGTCAGTCTTTTCCCTGAAGGCCTTCCACCACCCTCCTTTCTAAATTTCTCTGTCCTGAAAACCACAAAGTTGGAAGGTTTTTGTCTGAGGGAACAGAAGGGATAGGAGGGGCTGGGGATTTAGCTCAGCCGCAAAAGCGCCTGCCTGGCAAGCGCAAGGTCGTGAGTTCGGTTCCCGGTACCGGAGAAAAACCAAAAAAAAAAAAAAAAAAAAAGAAGGGATAGGAAATGTAAAAGTCAGTTAAGTACCTGGAGCTGTTGAGAGATTTGCTACCTTAAGGTACTTACCCCTGACCCAACATGAGCTGTTCCTCTTATGCATATTACCAAGTGAACTGCCATCTTGGAAATGTTCTGAACTCATTTGATCAGCAGTGCAGACTACACAAGTGTCCTATACACTATAAGACAGATACAGATACATTTTAGCTATAGGACTATCTTTTAAATAATATATTTCATAATTTCTACCAGTAGGAGTCAAATGTTAGCATGCTTCACAAGCACAATTGGAGGACTTGCCAATTCACAAATGGATGTATTCTTCTACTGAGTATCCAGTTTGGGAGCTTTAGGTGGGACTCGAAATTTTGCCTTTCTGATTATTACCCAGAAGGTGCTGATATTGCTAGTCTGAGGACTACACACTGAGAACGTTCTCTACTTTCTTTATCCCTTTTTCTTGCAGATTCCTTGGCCAAGGCTCCCTGAGTCTGTGTGTACATAGAGAGGTGCATAAGGACCTTAGACATGGGATTCTCCTTCACTCCTTAAATAGGCTAAAAAGCATTGAATAAATGGGGAAAAAATCCAGGTTGATCCTCAAACCTGGATGAAGGAAAGCTAATTTATGTTAATTTTTCTATTTTTTTATGATACTAACATACGTATAATACCTATCTGATGTGATAGCATGATACTGGCAAGACAACCATAATTTTTTGTCATTATTATTGTAACCAAACATGGTTTTTCAAAGTGCTGTCAGAGAATTTGTATCAGTCAGTGCTCACTAGCAAAACAGATTTAATGGGAGATATATAGATAAGATTTAAGATAAGCTTACAGTAGCTGCCCACTGAGTCAGGGGTCTGCAGGCTGGAGATCTGAAGGACCCAGACCAGGGCTGAAGCCTGAAGCTCACTGCAGAGTTCCGTGTGGGTCCGTATCAGGAAGCCCAAGGGTCTGCGCTAGAAGGCTGAGGAGGCTGCCCTGGAAGCCAAGAGACAATTCCCAGGTGAAGATGAAGACTGGAGCTCCTCCAAAGAAACAGCAGCGAGCCTTCCTGCTTTGTCTCCCTTTAATCTATTCAGGCTGCAAACCTTTTGGTTAGTGCTACCCAGCCCCTGGGAGGTCTTCTGTCTTCAGCAAATCACTTCAGCCATGTCCAGAACTATGCTGATCCAACTTATTGGGCATTTCTTATTCAAATTGATACAGTTAATATCAAAGAGTCTCAGCAAATTACTTATTTACTCCTAGAAATTAGGAAAATGAAAAATATTTTATAAAATTTTCCTAGTGAAGAAATCTCTGACATATTTCTGAGGTATATCCCTTGCATATATAATGTGCCATCTCAAGTCTATCTTGGGAGCATTGTGGTCCATGCATCAGAATCTCCAACAAAGCCATAAATTTGACTCTCCCTTATATGGACAGACGTAATTCTAAAACTTTTATAGAGTGGTAGAGGAAAACTGAATTACATTTTAAGAAGAGCCAAACAAAATTGTTTTGCAAATGTGTTTCCCTTTGAGGCTGTCAGAGATAATCATAATAAAAACACCTACATTTTATATTTTACATTTTGGTTTCTAAATATTTGTTCCTAAAGGCAAAATGCAGTTAATATAATGTTCATCCTAGAAAGACCACTCATTTGAGTTTTCAGCCAAAATTCTTTACTTTTGACACCTTCTTTGACATTGGACTATTTGGTGTCTTCTTGTTTTCCTTCTCCTCTTAGCTTCAAAATTTCCTTCATCAGCTTCCTGTGCTACGTTTAATTTTTGCCTCATCATCACTGTTTTGAACAGCTGGAATGGTCATTGTAAGGAACCTGCAAGGTTGTACCAGTTTCCAATGCAGACACCAAAGTTTCCAATAACACGTGACAAAAACAATAGTAAAAAGTTGAATGTATCATCACCTGGTTTTACCTAATTTTGCCTTATTGTGTATCAGTGTTCCAGGTCCTGTGGAGGTGGAGTTCAAGAGAGAGGGGTGTCTTGTCCAGGAGGCCTGTGTGACTGGACTAAAAGGCCCCTATCCACTATGCCCTGCAACAGGCATGCTTGCTGTCACTGGGCCACTGGGAACTGGGACTTGGTAAGAGTTGGTTATTTATACTTTGTTTCACTTTAGCTTTGTAAAAGAAAATGGCATTTGTTTCCATTCAGTTATAAAAGTCATGTAGGGCTAGGCATACAGCTCAGCAGCACAGAGCCTGCCTGGCAAGTGCAAGGTCATGAGTTCGAGTCCCACTACCAAAAAAAAAGTCATGTAATCCATTATAAATGGTCAGTGTATTCACTGATGTACAACATGTTTCTGTGGGACTTCAGTTTTAATAGTCTTCTACCATAAATACTTCAGTCTGCTGAAAGTTACTGCATAGCTGCTGTGGGTCAGTGTGAGTTGAAAAGAAAAAAGATCAAATACTTTCAAAAGAGAAAAGATCAAATACAGTACAAAAATTATTCCAAAGGCACAAAGCCTAAGGGAAGATTATTTTGACCCCCAAATCTTAAGTTTTCTATTTTTTTCTTGAGCCAGGAGGACTCCTCTAGTTCTGAAGCTTTAGAGTTAGTCTGACTTGGTGAATTTCAGGCCTCTTGTCTTCTCACAGAGCAGTTGACCAGATGGCCAGCCTGTATGTTGAAGAGGTAAACACTGAAAATGAAAGATTTATTATTCTCCTAAAATGTATTTATTGCATAAATGAAACTATATCCGTGCTATTGAAAATAAACCTTTCTCATAGGCAGACTTCTGTCTGATTTGTCCTATATCATTCTGACTTGTCTCACATGGGTTCTCTAGGACACAGTCTTGAGGCAAAATGTAGCACTTTGTTAGGAAATACAACACCAGGAAGCAGGAGTGTTAGAAAGGAGGAAAGAGGCAGAGAAAGAGATTCAAATATGAAGTGGTACCGTACTGCTGATCATTTTACCTAACTGACCATGGCTTGGTATCAGGGCAACTGATTGTAGCTGCCCAAAGAAAGTCTTCTGAAAGCTCTGTGAACCATTGCCTCTTATGGCAGTTTATCCAAAGGTAGGAGAAGAGGAGAATTATCTACAAGCTCCTATCTCCCCCTGGGTGAACAGTCTTCCCTTCACACCAAAAGTAGAATGACTAAGCAAACACAACAAAAGGAACCCCAAGGAAGCAGAGACCAGGTAAGAAATAGATGAACTCCTCTCCAAAAACTATATTTAATCTCTTCAGAGAAATAAATATATCTACAATCTGAGAACAAGAAGCTAAGCTAAGGAATTTGGAGACTAGAAGACCTTAAAATTTTTTTAAAGTATCAAAAATTTAAAAATGAAAAACCAATTTGAGGAAGAGTCACAAGAAAAGAAAAAAAAAATTGAGACTAAAAATAAGAACATAAGGGCACCAGACCAGCAGATATAACATCAAAGGAATGAGATTTCAGAAAGGGAGAATGAAGAAAATAGAGAGGGGAAAATTATCAAAGAAGCAGCAAAAGAAAAATTTTCCAAATCTGAAGGGTGTAAGTCTTCAGGGAAAGAACTACATATACCATAATTCAAAGGAGAAAAACCTGGTATAAAAGGGAGAATTTTGTTTCTACATCAGTAAAATCAGAAAATCTTATTTTGCATGGTTATTACAAGGATTGAGCTCAAAAATATTTCCTATGTGCATAAAACATGCCCAGCCGTATATTAATAATAAGTACAAGAAAATTATCCAGTGAACGTGTTTGCATTCATTATAAAATGTCAACTAGTTTCTCTCCATATTTCTCCATTTGATCTATACTGATTGAGTGGTAGCAGTGACAGAATCTGGTCTTCATACATCTCTTTTATAGCTTCCCACAGAGCAAGTATTTCTGAGCATTGGGAATCAACTTTTTCAAATAAGCCAGTTAGAGCTTCTTGCCTTTTGGACAGAACACATAGGACTGCATGAAGCTACTGTAGAGTTCAGTGTATGAACTGATGTGAGAAATTCACTGCATCAGCAGCCTAAGCTAGAAGACCACCAAGTTTTAACCCCATCCCTATTTGGGACACTCACTTGTGCCACAAGGATTCTTGGTTTTATAGGACCTGAAGGAGTTGATTTGACCCCTAAGAAACATATACTTTCCCTCTAAGACCCCAAACTCATAGCACTACCACAATCAACAAAACTCAAATAGGCAACCCTGCTTCCTGCTTAATCCTCCAATTAAATATGACAAATGCATCCATCTTAATCACAAACTGTTTTAATTGGCTTATAGCTGCAAGGATGGTGATGGCTTCTGTTTATTTTTGTGTGTGACTTGGAGCTAGCTCTTTTATTCTAACTTGCCCTGCCCAAGGCTGCAGCACCTAGAACCAGCACACCCTCATCTCATTAGCCCCTTAGAAACAGAAATTAAGAAAAGAAGTCATTTTGGGGCTGGGGATTTAGCTCAGTGGCAAAGCGCCTGCCTGGCAAGTGCAAGGTCGTGAGTTCGATTCCCAGTACCGGAGAAAAACCAAAAAAAAAAAAAAAAAAAAAAAAAAAAAAAAAAAAAAGAAAAGAAGTCATTTGGTCTACTTTATAGAGGAAGAAAGAGACTGGTAAAGTAGATGGTGGAGGATGATGAGTTGTAAGCAACAAAACCTCAAATCTCCTAAACTCTAGCCCAGGACACTTTATTCTGGCTTGATCATTTTCCATCATTCTTCTCTCTATCCTCTGTTACAAACTTTAATTGACTCTGGATCAGCTGAGTAGTTATTTCTTCCTCTTTTCTTTCCCATATCTATGGAGAAATTGAGATAAATTCATGGAGTCAAATTACCTTCAGATTTAATCACAAAAAATTTCTGACTTTGTCATGCAAACATGCAGCTCCATGCACAGCACTATGCTTTAGACTTTATATAGACTAAAATAAAATAGAGCAATAGATATTTCTTTTAAAAAAATGTGTTTCTCCTCCTAACTTCTCTATGGGGAGGTCTCTGTAAGAAACTGGATTTTAATAGCAGTATTCTGAGGTGATTGGTGGTTATTAGTTATAGAAATATTCTTGTCTAGTGAAATGGATATTCAATAATATTTGAAGTGGCAAATAGAATCTTTTAAATTTAGTGATTTTTCTAGAATTTATACCTAGTAGTCTTTTCCAAGTACTCAGTGAATAGTTTTGAACGGCATGCTAATTGTGAAGCATGAAGAGAAAAAAACTTTTTCTGCCCTTTGAAAGGTTTTGCTCATGTAAGAAAGATGAGGTTAAAAGTAATAAAGCATGATATAAACTGTAAGTCATAATAGTAGATGTAGATCGCAAGAGCCAAAACATAGACATAGCACGAAAGTCCCTCAATGGCTTCATGGTTTTAAAAAATGTGGTATATACATATAGTGGGACATCCTTCCAATTTAGAAAGGAAATATTGGTACATTCTACAACATGGATGAAACTCAGACATTATACGAAATGAAATATCAGTCACAAATTGAAAAAGGCTCCATGATTCCTCTTATATGAGGTATCTACAGTTATTAATCTCACAGAGTAAAAAATTGAATGGTTCTTGCCAGGAGCTGGGGTGGAGATTAGGAATTGGTAAATTTTGTTTAATGGAACAGAGTTTGGTAAAATGAAAAAGTTATAGAAATAAAGAGTGAATAATGTGAATGCACAATAATGTGATTGTTCTTAAGATCAATGTATGGTAAAAGTATTTAAAAAGTAAGTTTATCATTCATATATTTTACCACAAAAGACTTTTTAAGGAAAAAAATATATATGATAAGTTTAGACACATTTTCTCTCATCCTTAGGAATCATCTTTTAGAAGTTGTTTCCAGGCCAGATGTGGTGGCAAATGCCTGTAATCTCAGCCCTCTGGGAGCCTGGGGTAGGGAGGGTAGAAAGTTTAAGCCCAGACTGAACAACTTAGCAAGATCCAGTCTCAAAATGAAAAAATAGAAAGTACTGGGAATATCGCTTAATGTGAAGGCCCTGCACTCAATCCCCAGTTCCACCGCTGAGAGAGAGAGAGAGAGAGAGAGAGAGAGAGAGAGAGAGAGAAGAAAGAAAGAAAGAAAGAAAGAAAGAAAGAAAGAAAGAAAGAAAGAAAGAAAGAAAGAAAGAAAGAAAGGAAGGAAGGAAGGAAGGAAGGAAGGAAGGAAGGAAGGAAGGAAGGAAGGAAGAAAGAAAGGAAGAAAGAAAAGAAAAAATGTTGCTTCCACAGGCCAGAGAGTTTCCTCCCTGTTACTAGAACTAATCACGATATTGCAGTGAAACCTTGTGTTAGGATGACTTGAGATTACATGTGGTCCAGCTAGCTGCAACCCCAAAGACCACTGCTGCCCTGCTCCTTCCCTAATCTATATGCAGCTCTGTTCCTACCTCCACCCCAAATTATTTCTGCATTCCACCATAGTCTCTCCCATTTCTTTAGCTGATCTTACTCTCAGCTTCCCTAGAAGCTTTATTCCTTTTATCCACATCTGATCACCATCCTCAAATCAAAACTAGTTCAGAGAAAGTGGAGAGCACCAAACTTTTGCTTGTATTTCAATCTTTCTCTGTATGTTTTCCTCCATATATTTATAATGCAAAGATGAATGTTTGGGTTGGGAGTTTTAGCCAGGGCCAAGATTGTATACCTACAAGTACTCCATCTCTCATCCTGCTCCTCTCTAAGCATATGCTTCATTCCACTCATATTTTCTGCCATCTGTTTTTTCTCCTCCTAACTGGCAGGAAATATGGCCACTAACTGTACTTAAATTTACATAGTTCAGCCTCATGGAATTTCTTGCTACATCTTAATTCCAAATTCCCAACAAAACCACTGTCTGGCCCACTTTATCCAGGGACCCTCCCCTGGAGCAGTCACATGTCTGAGTGGCTAGTGCCCCATAGTACTATCATGGGTGCTTAGATCCCAATGATTTAGCGATGTGGTGAGGGCAACTGACCATTCTCAAATGTGGGAAAGAAGAGCATGTTCTTCAGGGAACCCAGTAGTAAGCCAAGCTGAATTTAACTCAACAATCTATAATACAGTATAGGACTTTCCCTACATTCATATCTCTAAATTTTTATGGTGATCTATTCCATTCCATTCCTCAGAAAGGTTCTGAATAATAGAGACTTTCTCAAAGTGACTGTGATGGGATATGTTCTGCTGGTGTCCCCTGGTGATCCTGGGTGAAAACTCCAACTACCTGTGTGTCTCTCTTTCAGTGCACTATGTCCTGTGGAGGTGGCATGCAGAAGAGGACTGTCCATTGTGTCCCCTCAGAGAACAGTACAGCTGAAGACCAAGACCACTGCCTATGTGATCATGAACCCAGACCTCCAGAATTCCAAAAGTGCAACCAGCAAGCCTGCAAGAAGAGTGCCGGTGGGTGAATGGCTTGCTCAGGGGGAACAGAGCTTTGCACAAATAAGTCATTCTGCATGACTCAATTTGTGGATAGTTTTATGACCCCTTTGATTAGCAGAAAATCTTAATGCTGAAGAGGCTAGCCAGCAACTGTGAGAATAAGCTTTCTGATTTGGTGGAGTTTGTCTCTAATTCCTTGAGGAATCATCTCATTTTTTTTTCCTATCTCAGAGCATATTTACATGATGCCGTCCCCTACTGATGAGAATTGCTTGTGTTTGTCGTAGATCTTTGAGAGATGTTCCGGCATTTCTCAGGAACCTAGCCAAGTATGGAGTGGTCTCCTCTATAAATCTAGTTCTACTGTCTCAGGTCAGGTTTAGCAGAAGCAGGCTGTGGATGAAAGTGTGCAAGAGATTCGTTAAAGAAGTGTTCCCAGGGAAGACCCTTAAGGGAGCAAGAGAAGCAAGACAAAAAGGGGAGGAAGCACAGCAGGACATCCTCTCAGCCACCTGAAGTCCCCGCTTCAGCCTGGTCTGCAAGGGAGCTCCAGTGTGTGTGCTACACCTAAAACCTGTCTGCTTCTGACCAGTGAGCTGGACTTCCACACATACTCTTCAGCTGTTGGCCAAGGGTTACTCCAGGGGAAGTGAATTTGCAGACATCTAAATTCCACTAGAGAGATAAAGGAACTTTTGTCGGCTGTGGGCAGTCCTCCCAAGGTATCTGGGAATTAGAAGCTAAGCAAGGAAGCTGGGAGTTAGTTGGGTGAAGGAGAGGCACCTGAAAATAAACAAAAGAAATCCAAAAAGCTGAGCAGTGAAAAGGCAGTGCTGTCTGCTACATTCAACTTTCACTTTAAAAGCATCCTAATTAGGGCTGCAGATGTGGCTCAGTGCTAGAAAGTTTCCCTGGTGCCCACAAGACCTTCCGTGTATCATACTTCCTCAGAGGTGGGAAGGATCCAGCTTTGGAGAAAACAGCAATAGATCTACATCACAGAGCACCCACTTTCTCTATCTATGTGATCTTGTCAAGTTGTTTAGCTTTCTGACACTCAATTTCCTTTTGGGTATAAAGGAAATAATAATATAAGCCTTACAGAGTAGTGAATATTTTAAATAATATGCATGAGTGTACTTAAAAAAAGATATGCTTCATCAGTTACATCCCATAGGCAAGTTATTTCACCTCAATAGACTTCCATTTCCTTATCCATAAATGAGTGGGCTTGACCATGAACTCTAAAGTTCATTCCAGTGACATCTTTGACTCCATTGATCTGCAAGATTTCTAATTAAATTTAAAGCCTGGAAATAAAATTCTGTAAAAGCAGCATGTTGGTAGAACACAGTTGCAATCTTTTCCCAAAGATTTCTTAAAGCAAGTTGGGCGTGGTGATACACACCTGTAATCTCAACACTCTGGGAGGCTGAGGTAGGAGGATCACAAGTTCAAGCCCAGCCTGGGCAATTAGGAACTTAGCAAGAGCCTGTCTTGAAAAACGGGGCGGGGGTGGTATATAACTCAATGTGATTAGCCTGAGTTCAGTCCCTACTACTGCCAAACACACACACACACACACACACACACATACACATGGGTGTTTTAAAGATGAAAACTAATAAAATATGTGCTTGCCTCCTTCCACCTTCTGAAGGGATTGTTTATTTCCAAATTATGCATTTATTCAACAAATAATTGTTGAGTACTTACTGAATTCTAAAGGCAGTTTCAAAGAAGAAACAAAGGCACAAATTGGTTATAGGCCCTGTGAGAAGAGAGGAAAGAAAGCAAATGGAGTATGAGAGTATTTGGGGAGGCCATGGAACTAAAATTGGGAGAACAGGGCCTTAAAGAAGAGCAGAAAGGCCCTGCAGGTTCCAGGAGGAGTATTCTGCTTCCAGGATAGCCAGGAAAATGACAAAGCAGTGGCATGACATATAAATCTAACCCAAGCACAAAGCTCCAAGGGAGTTAGAAAATGATAGCATTGGAGAGATGAGCCAGAGCCGGAGGGTAAAGAGCTTTGTAAAGCATGTGGACAAATTTGAACTCTATACTGAGGGCAAAACGGAGCCATAAAGTATCTCAAGCAAGAGAGAAGCTAAGAAAGTCATTCTGTCTGTGGGTCTGAGAATAGACAGGGAGGAGCAGTTATGAGGCAGCGGCTGTACTCCAAGCAAAGAGGTACATGGCCTGAAGTGGGCAATAGAAGTGCAGAGAGGGAGAAGCAGGTAGATTCAGAGGCTACTTGACAGGACTTTGTGCCAGAAGAAAGGAGAAGAAAGCCAATGTCCATATTTCTGACTTGGGCTGCTGCAGAGATGAGTCTGCCATGAATGAGAAAAAACCCAGGGTTGGTTTGAAGATGAGAGAAAGTGACTGATACCATCTAGGGCATGTTTGCTGAGGGGCCTGTGAAGCATGTTGGAGTGTTTGGTAATTGGCCTGTTACATAGTTTTAGAAGCCAGGAGAGATCATGGTTGGAAATCTTGACGAAATGCACCAAGAGGGAAATGCTTTGGGTATGATTATCATCAGTAGCTTCTTTCTGATCACCTTTGCATGTGAGGGTAGCTTTCATGTCCTTACTTCGTATACCAGAAGAAATCGTCTAAAATTCATTCTTAGAGATGCTATTGATACTTAGTCTCCAAATTCTTGCTGTTCAAAACCAGATGAATTGATGTCTCCTGGGAGTTTGCTAGAAATGCCAGATCTCAGATCTACTAAATCAGAATCTGTGTTTACATGAGATCCCCTGGTGATTCCAATGCCCATTAAAATTAGAGAAGCGCTGTGTTGTAGACCAAGGAAACATTTCAGGCCCTCTTCATTTCATTTCATTTCATTTCATATGTTTTTTAAATGTTGAGGCTTTGAAATTCCTTCTGTGTTGTTTCTTTATATAATTAAACCAGTCACCTAGACTTGCTTCGTCATTTCCAGTGTTGTGGATTATTGATGTTATTTTTAATCATATATCGATTGTCTTGAACTGTCTTATTGCTGGGCAAGGCAATCTTTAGTAATCAAAACCTGGTTAAATGCATATATTGTAATTTTCTTGAAATGTCATACTGACTAGAGGTGACTAACATTTGACTGGCAGTTAATATAAATAGCAATGAATTCTACTCACCAACAATTACCAGGACAACAAAGTTAATTACTAGTTTCTCTTAAAGGGAGAACCATGCTTACTCACACAGGAGCAACATGAAAGAACACTTACAAGAAATTCTTTAAGAAGCCAAGTACCCACCCTGACTCCATACCCGCTAAAATGCTTTGAAAGTAAACCATTCAAAACCAAGATTCTTGTCAGTCAGTCATTACAATAAATATACCTCTATATCTATTATGTAAGATTGAGTATAAATTCATATGAAGCTTGTTTCCCTACAGGCCATTTTATTGCTTTTAAATACCATCTGAATTGTTAATAACCAAATCATAAATCAGAACTACCTTTTCCATACTGAGGTTTATAAAGTGTTTTCCAAGTATCTGGGTAAAAGCAAAGCAAAGTTCTCTTTTGTATCATTCCTGGGTTTTGTTGCTATTAGTTTCATTCTCATTGTCTTATTTGGGAAGTGAGGGGTACGAAAGTTAGGAAAAGAGTAGAGACAATCTGGAAATCCCAGCATCTGGGAGGCTAAAACAGAAGGATTATAAGTTCAAGCCTGGCCTTGGACCACATAGCAAGACCCTGTCTCAAAAAATAAGCAAAAAGAATACAGAGGGTACTTAAATCCAGTGTTGACACAAAGGAACATTTGGTCTATAAATGTTCTACTGGAGGATATTGCTCTATATTAATAGGATTTTACTTATTCTTTTAATCAGCAAACATTTTTGACCACAAGATATGCCTTAGGCAAAGGCTAAAAGCTGAGGATGCTATGACCAGTTCCTGGTCTCAAGGGCTCTAAATCTTTGGTTTTTTTTTTTAAATGAAAGGAGGAAAACATTGACAGACAACCTTTTACAAAATAGCAAAAGAACAGTACAGACAATACAGACTTACAAACAAAGTGGTAGGAAATTAACAATGTTCTTGTATTGCATATTGATATCTTCAAAGTGGTTTCTCATGAAAACAGATAGAGACGTGCAATATTGATCAATCAAGGACTCACTGACAGTTTCTTTCAGCAAAGAAATAGAAGACAGTAGAACAACTATGTTAACTATCCTGTATATACATACATACAAAAATTCTCCTTCTTTCCCTTCTCTTTTCCCACATCCCAATTGCTCAAGGGCTCTAAATCTTATAGAAACTGCATTTACTGACAACAATGAAAGTATTTTTCAACTTTTTTTCATGAGCAAAATATTATCCTCTCAACCTAGACCCAGCTAGCAAGGAAACAAGCTAAACTGTCTCTTTAAATTTCCAAGTATGGTTTCTTTTGAATAAACAGAGGAAAATTAGGATCTCCTCTCCAAGTTGCCCCTAATTATAAGCATTGTGCATAGTTCAGGGCTGAGATCCAACTGGCTGATGAACACAAGAAATCTTCATTGTTTTACGATGGTAAGGAGAACTGGTCTAATTAAGCTGTACCATGAGGTTGAGCTCACAGTCATTGTCCAAATGAGCTGCTAAACATAGACCTGGAACACTAACTACCAATGCAGGCCGCCACTATCCTCCACCCTCCCTTCTGGTTTCCTGCTCCCTCTCAGCAGGATGCCAAGACCCAGGATGTTCCCTGGGCTCAGAGGACATTTGAAACATCATGGATCCCCAGGTCAGGCAGTGATTCCAGGCTTGGTCAAGACTCTTCCAGTCCCTTGCGTATTGCCCTCATGTGAAAAGAGGGTTTCCTGTATTGAACCATGAGGCTTTTCTGTGCAAGATGAACTTGTACACGTGATCTTCTCACCTGTTACCAATACCAGAGACTTATTCTCCTGGAGGCAAAGCTTTAGTGGCAGTAAGAGAGCATAAAATTCCATCAGCACCACCTATTTACCAGCTATGGGATGCTGAACCAAGTGCTGAGGCCTTCTGAAACCCCTAATTTTCAAAAGGAAAAGAATTAGATATATCTGCAAGTAAAGACCAAATGATATTGTATATTCCAAGTGCATGGTAAATGCTTAATGCACTGTGTGGTGGTGGTGGTGGTAGTGGTGGTGGTCATGGGGTAGTGCTTGTCATGGGTGAGGAAGTGCAATAATTAATTTTCTTAGGGTTACAGTAACAAATGACCATAAAAGGGGTGGTGACTTAAAACAACAGAAATTTATTCTGTCACAATTTTAAAGCCTAGGAATCTAAAATCAAAATGTTGTTAGGGTTAGACTTTCTCCCTGTATTAGTATCTTCCTGTTGCAGTCACAGAATACCTGAAAATAAACTTAGGGAAAGGGAAGGTTTATTCGGGCTCCCTGATTCAGAGGCTTAAGTCCATGGTCAGCTGGCCCCACTGCATTTAGGATTGTGATGAGGTGAAACGTCATGGTAGAAAGGCATGACAAAGGACAGCTGCTATCATGTAGCATCTAGTAAGCAAGGAAAAGAGAGAGAACTAGAGAGCAGACACCAGGAAACAAAGGAGCCCAAGACAAAGTGTAGTCCTGAAGGGCAAATCTCCATGACCGCACTCCAACTAGGCCCCACCTCCTCAGGTCCATCATCGCCACGCTGTGAATTTATCAGTGAGTTAGTCCACTGATACTTACAGCGTTCATGATCCAATCACTTTCCAAATGCCCCACCTCTGAACATATGAGCCTTTGGGGGAAATTTTAGATTCAAACCATCCATTCTCTGAGCTCCTGGTATTCGCCCACAATCCCTAGGTTTGCTTGGCTGACAAACACTTAATTCCAATCTATACTTCCCTTATCACATGGCCATCTTCTCTCTGTGTGTTTGTATCTTAACATGGCTTTCTCCTCTGTGTGTTTTCTGTGTCTCTTTTCTCACAAGGGTAGCACCAGCCCTATTGGATTAAGAACCCACCCTACTCCAAAATGACCTCATCTTCATTTACATCATAATTATGCCTGCTAAGACCATGTTTCCAAGTCAAGATGCATTCACAAAGGGTTAAGAGCTTCAATACTGGAAAAAATTTAAGCTTTAAAGAATATAATTCAATCCACAATAAGCTTAAAAACTTCAAAGACTTACTCATAATAACAGACCCTCCCCCCTTTGGAGAGATCATACTTCAGTCCTTAACAGAAGGAAATGCTTACATACCATTTATGTAACAGTTCAGAATGGTGTGGAGTGGAGCTCAATGACATGCACCTGCAATCCCAGCTACTTAGGATGCCGAGGCAGAGGATAAAAAGTCTGAGGTCAGCCTAGGCAACTTAGTGAGATTCTGTCTCAAAATAAAATAATTTTTAAAAGGTCAGGAAATGTAGATCAGTGGTACAACACTTGCCTAACATGCAAAAAGGACCTGGGCTCAATTCCAATATTCATTAAGAAGAAAGAGAAGGAGAAAGAGAAAGAGAGGGAGAGGGATAAGTAGAGGGAAAGGGAGGGGAAGGGGAAGGAAGAAGAGGAGGGGAGGAGAAGGACAGGGAGAGGAAGGAGAGGGGGAGTGAGAGGAAAAGAGGCCCCAAGTTTTAGCAAGTGATAAAATAGTAGAGTTGAAGACTGAGACAAAGGAGTCCATATGAAGCAGCATGCCCAAAAGAAGCTTTAGGGACAGCTGGGACACAAGTTGGGCCTCTGCACTTCCTCTCTCTTCCTCCTTCCTTGCAGCAGCCCTCAGGTCATGATAGGAAGACTGTGAAACAAAGAGCTGCCCCACATACACCTTCCATGTCCACCAAACACAAGGGATTCAGGAAAGGCAGGCTAAGGAAGTGGGGCAGCCCCATGACACCTGAGTTTCCATGCTGACCCTGCTCCAAAGCCAGAGTCTTCCCTGTTCTGAACACAGCCACGTAATGCACGGGCTGGGCCCATGGAAAGTGCCCACTGCTCTGGTGGGGACACAGGAGACACTTCCCAGGGACTTTCACATTAGGAGTACTTGGTCAGGACATGCCCTGTCTCTAAAATTCAAAGCATGTAAGATATTTTCCTAGGGGATTTTTGAAACTAATTTTTTTTATAATAGGCGTAAAGAAAAGGCTTGAAAACAAAAAGAATCGACAATGAAAACTGCTTTTCTTTGGAGCTCTAGACTTATTATATGCTACCAACCCCTAAATGCATTTACAGCTTGTGCATAAAATGGGATTCTGGTAGCTAATAGGTGACATTTATTTCTTTAAAAAAAAAAAAAAAAAAAAAAAACAGGGCTCTGTCAAGGAAATGGTAAATGCTTAAGGGAACTAAAAACATTTTTATCTTTATAATCTGAAGGTGAAAAAAAGCATAGAGTGCCTCCTTTCTCTAAGTGCCCTCACTCTGCTCTTGAGTACGTTCTGTATCTACCTCTACTAAAGCCTCCTCATCTCTCTTTTAAAAGTGTAAGGAAGCAAAAACATCACATATATGGAGTCAAGAAGATATCACTTCAATTTCTACTTTTCCGAGTCCTTTGTTAAAGGGAGGGCACCTGTTTGAGGATATGTTTCTCTTCAGAGCAGTTAAAATGTTTTCTCCAAAAATGAAAAAAGAAGAGAACCAGAGCCCCAAGAAAAAAACCTGTGATTTGGCTCTCATTTAATTACTTCTAAACCAGTCGTACTTGGGCCAATGAATTTGGAGCCTCACTTATATGATGTATATGTAAATGAGCAACTTAATTCCCTGATGCAGATATAAGGAAAGCAAGGCTCCCCGACAAAAAAAGAAAAAAGACAAGGGATATACTTGCCCAAAGTGAAGTAGAGAAGAACAGAATTAGAACTCAAGTAACTGGCTGAATACTGCCACAGGAATTCTTTCGGTGTGTCTCATGCCTTCAACTGCATGGTACTTTCTTAGAGAGCAAAAACCCACAATTTCTTTATCTGTACCCTTACTCTGCTAAGCAATGCTCAGGAAGCTTGGGTTAGTTGGCTGACTGCTTTACTACATGGAACAGTGAGTCGTGTGATTGACAAAGCATGAGCTCAAGTCAAAACAGCCTGCATTCAGGTCTGGCCTGCCACTTACCAACTGCATAAGAGTATTCAAGGACTTGACTGCTCTACACCTAACTTTTCTCATTTATGAAATGGAAAACTATTTACCTGCTAATACTTCTATGAGGATAAAAGGATGACATGTGTGTACTGCATAGAGAACACTCTTACACTCAGAGGTTCAAACCTAGTCATGCATTTTTTGCTCAATGTATGTAGGCCGGCTCAGGTTCAGCTGCTCTAGCCTGGCTTTGGTTGGCCTTGGCTGCACGCTATAGGGTGGGTCTGGGTGTGTGCCATGTGTTGCTCTTCCCCTCTTGGTATTATGGCTGCACAAACCAGGTTCTTTAATATGATGCTAAAGCTCATCAGAGCAAGATCATCTTCCTGCACCTCCCAAAGCCCTGCAGGGATCATGGTTGATAATAGCGCATTGGCCAAAGCTGAGTCCAAAGCTGAATGGAGAAGTGTTCTCCATGGCAGCCTGGGGGATTTATAATCCCCCCACACAGGTGAAGAGTTGTGACTAGTGAGTCAGCTTACTACATACACTGAGCACAGTGTCTGGTTCATAATAAATGTTCATTGAAATTCTGTTGTTAATGAACTTCCATGCATCCTTTCTTGCAGGCATGTGAAGTTTTGTAGCAGTAGGTGTGTCCATTCACCCACAAAGAATAAACCTTGGATTTACTTTTTTCTCCTCCCACAGATTTACTTTGCACCAAGGACAGGCTGTCAACCAGTTTCTGCCAGACCCTAAAGACCATGAAGAAATGTTCCGTGCCCACTGTGAGGGCGCAGTGCTGTTTTTCATGTCCCCAGACACACATCATCCACACCCAAAGGCAAAGAAGGCAACAGCTGCCCAGAAACCCCAAAGCACTGTAAGTCCGGAGCGAAGCCACCCTCGTCATCCAGTGCAGCAGCTGCTGACCGTGACATGCTTTAGCCCATCAGGCTGCTTCACAAAAGTTTTCCTTTATGCGTTTCGGGTCTCAACCAACTCCACGGTGTTCCTTTAGTCACAAAATGTCCCTCACAGGAGGCCTGGGACTGTCATCCTTGCTGCTCCCTGATAAGAAGGGAAACTGTTCAGGAGAGTCCCACATCAGCGGGATCAGCTCCTGGGAAAGGTGCCAGATTAGGCAGGTCTGTGAAATGATGCCTTCTCTCCTCCTTATAGGTAAAAGCAAAGAGATAAGATTTTTCCCAGACTACCTCAGGAGTTTCAGGAAACAGAGCCTTAATTACCCAGGGAACAAATATCTTTTTAATTTACCTTGATGATACACCCTTTCCCACCTGCCTGGGGCAGCTGCTGTTTTAAGTGTCATGGGAGAGTTTGAGAAACATTCACTTAATTCATCCAGGCAGAGGACAACTTGCTTTACCCCATATTCCATGACAACGGGAAGACAGAGAGTGCTGGTTACTCCTCTCAGTCCACCCCCGGGTTCCTGTGGGACTCCAAGGGGCCATAGTTTGTATGAAATTCCATGTGTATGACCAGGCTTGCAGCCCTGAACTTCTAGACCAGTGCTAGAGAACCTTTTAGAGACAAGTTCTAAAACTGCGACCAGAACCCAGTTATTTACCCCCAAATGCCAACACTGCAACTGAACCTCACTACTGAAGTTTTAGTTTATTAAAAACAGCTCAAGCGTTAACATCCTTTGTTATGACACAAGTGCCATAGGTTCACCACCGCTGCTCTAGAATTTAGACAAAGAGGATGCAAACATGGCTGTAGCCTAAGGCATCTAGGCTACTTACACAGAAAAGCTTTTCCAAAACTCCAAAGGACAATTCCTATACAAAATCTTAATTAACAAGTGAATAGAAATCAATTTCTAGGTAACATCACAAAAGAAGCACGGACTTTTATCTTTTCCACTTTCCTGGCACAGACTTACTCTTTCAAGAAGAATGAATAAGTTTTCCTGCCTGACACTCTCCCTCCTCCCCATCCCTGCCTGAGCCATGAGCTCAGCTCCCATGACCCTCCTGGGGCAGGCAGTTTATGCACAAGGATGGCTGCAAGCAGGGCCATGGCTGCCACCTGCTCTCACCTCCTGACAGTTGGAAACTGGAGCTCTGGGTTAAAACTCTTTTAAAAACCAGGTAAATTGTACTAAGTACAAGAACTTCATATAGACTTATAGCCTAAAGAGAGAGAGGGAAAAAAAAACTCTAAAAAGTGAGATAAAAATCAGCTATGGTGGTACATGCCTGTAAGGATAGCATCCAAGAAGCTGAGACAGGAGGATTGCAAGTTCAAGGCTGGCCTGGACTAGAAAGTAACACCCTGTCTCCAGAACACACTAAAAAGTGATATAAAGATTATCAACTCCTGAGTGTACCCATTAGCTATATTTAAAGGTCTTTTGCTGCTGGGGATATGCCTCCATAGTACAGCTTAGGACTGGCAGTAGCAAAGTTCTGAGTTCAATAGTTCTAATACACACACACACACACACACAGAATTGAAAATACAGGTCATTTACCTTGGGGAAATCGGCAAGTTCAGAGAATATAAAACACTTATTTACCTTAGAAAGTTAGAATGCTTATCTTGGATGTTCATACATTCATTAGCAGTAAAAATATACTATGGTCTCAAATTGGAAGCAAGTTCTCAGGTAAACTGATTTCTAAGGGAGGTCCTCATATTAACTGTACTCAGTAAGACAGAGTGGTGGGAGAAGGGGTACAAGTCCCCAGGGGAAGACCTCAGAACCAGCTCTTGACAGAGGCGGGGATATGGCCTTCATGGACTGGACCACATGTTCTCAGACTCATGCACGGATACACTTAATCTTCAGCATGGAGCCCAGTGTCCCATCTCTCCTTTAGTTGTCTATCTGATCAGCAGAATGGTGCTATTGACAAATGGTGCTAATATTCAGGTGGTGGCAGAATCAATATAAACATACAGGATTAGATAGTGGCATAAATGGGTAAGTGTATGTGAAACTCCACATAGATGTCCTCTGTTAAACGTGGAATGGCGATGCTGGGCAGTGCTATTGCTTAGAAACCATAAACAGCATTTTTATTATAGGCTTTTTATTTTTTTTCAAGCCATTACCACATATTACTCTGATAAATTCTTGTGGAAAATAAAAACACTGGGCTTGAGATGAAATTCAAAACAGACAAAAAAGAGGGGGAAAGTAGAAAGACTTGCCTAAGCCAAGGATTTTATTTCTAACACACACTCTTATACTTTTTATCTTTTAGTATAAGCATTGCTGGCCAGGGTTATAGCTCAGCAGCACAGCGCCTACCTGGCAAGTGTGAGGTCACAAGTTTGATTCCTGGTATGAAAAAAAAAAATACAAACATTGTTGGCCAATGACAATCTCTAGGGAAATAATAGATCTAGAAAGAGCACAGTTAAATGGTTAGTGGCATGAGTTGAAAAGAATCTCATTCTTTCCCAAGAGGCAACTGGCAAAGCTTGCTTCTGAAGGGTGTGAGCTTTCAGAGGGATTAATTTAGTAAGCCAGATTGATTTAACCTGGGACTATAGTATCGTGGGGTGAAACACATATTAACAGAGACCTGCATATAACCAGGCATGCAAAACTCAGGAACAAACCTGGATTCCTACTGATCTCAACAAACTAAACTAGCAGATTTCCCAGTACATGAAATGAACATGTCATTTATGACCAATGTGGTGAAAAAGATGGTGAATACACATGGGGAGAATCTGCCCAAATGTTCTATGCTAGGTCTCTCTCAAGCTTCTCAAGGGGCGAATCATACATTATGGACATTCACTTCCTGTACGGAAGCTGCGTTGTAAGACATTTGTGTGGGTATTCCTTGGTGCTGCTTGCTAGAGGAGTCACCTGTCAACCACTTAGCTGTGAGTCATCGGAGTTTCTGCAAATCCTGCTACTTGCAATATTAGAGGAAGACAAGGACCTGGGAAGTGTCTTCATTTCTTTGATGTTCATCAAGCAAACTTGGTGGGGTACGTCATCCAGCTCTTCCTTCTTTCCACCTTGCAGGGGCAAGCGAGAAGTACAGCAGGAGACACTGGATACATGGCTATCATGAGCCAGAGAGGGCCACGAGAGGGCCTGGTGCTTAACTATGTCAAGGCTCTTGGTTTACATTACCATTCACAGTGGTAGAGTTAGCGGTCCTCTAAAATGCAGTGGGTTAATTTAATTCTTGAACATCAAAACATAATTACAAAAATATATACTATGACAAAACAATATTCTAAGAAACTTAATAGTAAATACTTTTTTAAATTAGAAAATCATTTCTGCTACAAAGAATTGCTTCCATGTGTAGGAATGCTTTGCTTTGTGATAGGTTTTCTTAAACAAGAACATGGTTCCATCCAGTCTCCTAAGACAGCCCAAACTGGCCCCCAGTGCGATGTTTTCAGAGATCCCGTGAGTGCTGTAAACAACCTTCATCAATCATCTGAGACACAGTTTGAGAGATTATACTATTGCAGACCATAATTGCCCATTTAACTGACTAAAATCCTCTAAACGCTAAAAATTATGCATTGCTACTCCAAAGAATACAGGCTTTAGCTTTTTCCTTTCTGACTTTTAGATAAAGCTCTGGGATAGAATATCTGGTGCTCAATCCACAGTGATTCACTTTCCAGGGAGATACCACATGATACAGCCTTCCTGGTGCTACATCTTAGCCAACATACTTAATGCTATTCTTATTGTTTATATTGCTACTTCAAGTATTATTATTTTAAGTTATGTTATTAAAAATAACGTGGTGGGGAAAACACATCTACCTATCAGTGTCCTCCTAAGTGGTTGTATGACACACATGGCCCAACCTACCGCCCTTCTATGTCTCTGTGTTGCTTCACTAGCCCTTTCGCCCCAGTTTCCTTAAAGCCAGTCTGTAATAGTAGCCTGCCTTTTTGTGACACCAATAAATGGCCAAACTCATTGATGTTTCCATGTCATTCATTTATGCTTTCTGTGAAACTTCCACCACCTACCAATCTCCTGGAAGATGCTACCAATTTTTTTCTCCCACACTCCTTCCATATTCTTTGCTTCCCTGTCCCTAGCTGAGAATGTTACCAGGTGAGTCATATCCAAGGTGAAGTAGAATTTAAGTCTCTTCTCATGAATGTGCAACTGACACAGTCCCCCAGTGATAATCAGAAATTATGCCTATAATTGCCCAATACTAAATCCTACATATTCAGATATGTAGTTCATAGCATAACCTATTCTCAGTGCAGAAAATTCTTAAGAAAATAATTCATTTCTAGAGGAACTTGCTTTGGAAATCCAATCTTTTTCAAAGATAGTGTACAGTTAAGTTTAACCAGTAAAGTGAGAATACGTACCATACCGAGATGGAATTCATTCCACATATGAGTAAGTAGAGTCATTAAGGTAGGGAAGAGCCAGCTGGATCATATACATAATCCCTAGGAAAAGAATATGAGTTAGGGGGTGGTAGGAAATCTGTTTTGAGTCAAAGAAGGCATCACAAACAACCATAACTATCTCCCTAATGTAGCTTTAAAATTAGCCTATGACCAATAGGTAACTCTTAGCCTACAAAATTCAGCTCAAATGTTACTTCCCTTGGGAAGCCTAGCCTGGCCCTGCCAGAAAGACTGAGACATTCCTCTCCTGCTACATATTGCCCATTTTCCAATAGAAATTTCTCTTGGGCCAGGGAAATTTTGCTCCCCAGAAGATATTTTTAAATGCCTGGAACATTTTGGGTTTTTACAGCTGGGAAGGGATCGCTTCTCAGCCTTTTGGCTAAGATCAAGTGCACAGCTGGAAAGGGAAGGGAGTGCTACTTAGCAAGTATTGGCCAAAGCTGCTGCTAAACAGCTCCAGGAAGATATGCTTACTATGGAGCCTATCTTGGATGCAAACGGCAAAGGGTTTTCCACTCTTCACTTCCACCCTTTCCATCCCCACTACAGGTAGAAAAACTGCAGGTTCAGGCTGTCTGAGAGAGAATAGGGAAGGAGAGAGAAAGAGAAGAAAATGGATCACTCAAAATTTAACATCAGCTGCATCTCGTGGCCATCAAATTTTCACCAATATTAGCATATGACAGGAATATAAAGACCCTAAAGAAATATACAAATACTAACTACCTGAAAAGTTGAATCTCTTTGCATTTGTGGGGGAGAAGTATAAGGTATGATCAAATATGCAAAATACAGAGTAAATATTCAAATTTTTAAAAATTATTACCGTAAAAAACAAATTGCCATGAATTCCTCTCAAAATACTTCCCTCACTTTGAACACACTTACCCTATTGCTCTTGCCACTTTCTGAAGTAGTTTTGGAAGTTCTGTCAGCATGTTTAGAAAGTGATCAAAACTACAGCGAACGGGGCTGGGGATTTAGCTCAGCGGTACCACGCCTGCCTGGCAAGTGCGTGGTCTTGAGTTCAATTTCCGGTACCGGAAAAAAAAAACAAACAAAAAAAAAAGAAAGTAAAAAAACTACAGCGAACACTGCTGTCCAGAGTCTTCCAATGGGAAAACAGGCTTGTTAAAACATTATGGTATGTATGCATCCACTTGATTCACTGGATCTGATGCTGTACAATGTCCAACTCTTCCCTAAAATCAAAATAACCACAAAAGGTGTACATTTTGGATCAGTTCGAGGGCAGCCACAGCAGCACAACTGAAGATACAGAAGAGGGCTTCCAGAGCTGCTTCAGAAAGTGGCAAGAAGGATGGGACAAGTATATTCAGAGTGATGGGGAGTATTTTGAGGAGGCTTAATGGCAATGCGTCCTTTGCTGCAATAATTTTTTAGTTTAAATGTTCACTGTACTTTTCCATCACACCTTGTAAGATTAGCACAGCAGGAAAGCATGGAGGGAGGGAAGGGTTCATTATCTACAAATGGCGTCTTTCAAAAACTCTAAATGATGGTATGATTTGTTTCAAATTCTTAATGAAATAACTTGGAAAAAATAGTGTAAAAGCATCATGCAGAAGTTTATGAGCAGGTAGTCCTGCTTTTGGTGCTGACACACCCACCAGCCACTGTGCAGCTCCTCACTGGTCAGCCCCCGGGGTCCTTTCCCGTAGTTCTAAGAGATCCCTAACTTCATGGGATGCTGCCGGGTCCAGAGGTTATTTGTGGTGACTCCTGCAGTCTCTGCACTGACAGGAAATGGCGTCTGGGCTGAGATACTATCAAGGGATTCCCAAACAGGCAGAACAGTCCAGCTTAAGCTTGATATCAACTGGCAGCACTCCTGCCCAAATTCTAGCCATCATGGTTGTCCTTCTAGCACCAACACTCTAGATATTGGAGCAAGTGGGAAACATCCATATACCTCGATGCATACTTCGTAAGACATAAGAGAACAAGTCCACAGGCCACACTGTCTCATGTCTTCCAGAGGGACTCAAAAGACTTTCGCAGGGACTGGAATTTGCTCAGAGAAAACAGCAGCAGAGCCAGGGAAATACTAAATTTTAACTAACACCCCAGTACTCTCTACCCTGGAAGTGGAGTCTTTTTGCCTATGTGGGAGGGAAGTAAGATTAACATTACAGGAAGCGATGAGGGACCCAGAATTCATTGTCTAAAAGTGGCTCTTTTTTAGTAAACTCTAAATCACGATGTGATTTTTAAAAATTTTTCTTAATGTAAAAGGCTTGGAAGCAAACCCAGAAAGCCCTACTGAAAGTATTTTTGACTAAATGCTGCTCCTGTGAGTCCAGTCCTCTAAAGAAAGGGAAACATTGCTTTGTATTTCTATTTCTGAGTTTAGCCTCCTGCCTGGAACATAGTATGTGTTCAAAAAAATGTGCTTATTAAATGAATGGATGCCAAGTTAAGAAGCTTGGAGGAACAAGTGGCAATCTTTCAGCAGCCAAGAGATGGAAGATTATTTCAGAAGCTGAATGTCATAGGCCATTCAGACCCAACACACAGACTTAAGCTAACCATTATAGCCTGTAATGAAAAATGAATCACATGTAACAAAAACATTAAAGCAACCTTCAGAAACCGTTACTGGAACATTTGGGACCAGAATGTACCCTTGCACCTCGTGAAATCCCCACTCATGCAAGATCTCAGGATGAGCCTAAGGAGCTCGTGTCACTAAGGCCTAATACTAATCCTTTTCCTGAGGTCATATCAGGGTTTTAAGAAGAAGCAAAAGGGTGGGGAAAAATCAGACTGAACTGGAGGCCAGAGAACTGGATACTTTTTCTACCACCAACAAGCTATGGCCTTGAAGCAAGTCTTGAGCAATGATTTATTTATATTTCTGTCTCTCTGGATGGAAAACCAGCTCCCTAATGGCAAGAGTTGTTTTTTATTCACCCGTATACCTGCAGCTCTTAATGCCATGCTTGGCATGGAGTGAAAGCCTAGGGAATTTGAACAAAGCAAGGCATGAATGATCCTCCCTGTTAAGCCAGGAGGCTGGATGCCATCCAAGTGTCCAAGTAATGTTACAACCACAGGGAAAACAGAATTCAGCTTCTGGATCATCAGTTTGATCCAACGTTGTGAAAAGGGAAGCAATAGTTAAGTACAATACGAACTGCGGAGTGTGATACCTAAATTGTCAAGATAAAATAGAAAATTTCAAAGGCCTTTCCTTAATCGTGAGGACCACTCAGGCCAAAGTCCACAGGTGTCTCCTCTGCCTTTCGCATTCATTGGTGGGAGTAATTAAGGCTCAAATAAGAGCTCTCTTAGGTCTGATCTGCTGATATTTTGTAACATAATGGTGACTTCTTAGAGTCTAGCCCATGTGAAAACAAACTCTATGGCCCTCCTCTTCTATTCAGGTCCTCACTACAAATCCCTCATATGAGTAATTATTAACTAATCCAACTCTTCCTGGCATAACTGACAAAGCTTTGATGGATGGTGATGTGGTTTTTTATTTCACCACTCCACGCCATCCTTGAGCTAATCTATGGGTGGGATGCCAAGCAAAATAGGGCTAATCTTCTAGTTTCAATTCATAGTAGGCAGTTGCTGAGTGTTCTTCTGATTCCAAGGAGGTCCATCCAGGGAACTTTTACATGCTGGTTGTAGGAGGATAAGGAACACTCCCACCCAATCAGAAAAACTGCACTGTCCCTGCGGGGCATGGTGGCACACTCCTGTAATCCCACCATTCTGGGAGGCTGAGGCAGGAGGACTGCAAGTTCAAGACCAACTTGGGCAACTTAGTGACCTAAAAAGACCTTGGGGCTGGGGATATAACTATATGTGAAGGCCCTGAGTTTAAGTCCCTGTACTGTGAAAAAAGAAAGAAGAGAAGGAAGAAAAGAAGATGGGGGAGAAGGGCAGGAAAAGCTTGGCACCACATGCCTGCAATTCCAGCAATATGAGAGGTGACAGAGGAGGATGACAAGCTCCAGACCCACCTGGCACCTGGGTAATTTAACAAGACTTTGTCTAAAAAAAAAAAAAAAAAAAAAAAAAAAAAAAAAAAGGGTGGCCTGCAGATGTAGCTCAGAGTTAAAATCCTGGTTCAGTCCCCAGAACTGAAAAAGACAGATGAAAAGAAGGAACGGAGGGGAAAAGCGCACTATTCCAGTAGTAAGTGCTGCACTCCAAGCTAAGCCCAAACGTAGCGCTGTAACAACAGCCACCATTTTATTATGAGCACACATTTTTCTGGAGCAGAGATTGAGACAGAGCATAGAGGAATGGCTTCTCTCTACTCCGTAATGCTAAGGACTGCAAAAACTTTCATAGAAAACAACTCCATCCAAATTGGAGACTTGACCAAACCATAGCATTCTGTGTAGCAGTTTAACACAGAGTCCCTGGGACAACCCAACCCTCCTCCTTCCCACCAAACCCCTGTCTGGAAAATCTCATGACTACCACAAAATTTACTGTTTGTTCCAGCAGACACATAGGCTTCTGATCACCCTTTTCTTAGAGTACTTATTAAAAATTTGCAAT